GGGGGTGGACAACCATGGGGGTGGACAACCACAGGGGGTGGACAACCACGGGGGGTGGACAACCACAGGGGTGGACAACCATGGGGGTGGACAACCATGACAGGGGGTGGACAACCATGGGGGGTGGACAACCATGGGGGGGTGGACAATCATGGGGGTGGACAACCACAGGGGGTGGACAACCATGACAGGGGGTGGACAACCATGGGGGTGGACAACCACGGGGGGTGGACTACATGGGTGGACTATAGTGTTGGACTACATGGGTGGACTATAGTGGTGGACTGCATGGGTGGACTATAGTGGTGGACTACATGGGTGGACTATAGTGGTGGACTACATGGGTGGACTATAGTGGCGGACTGTAGTGGTGGACTAAATGGGTGGACTATAGTGGTGGACTACATGGGTGGACTAAATGGGTGGACTATAGTGGTGGACTATAGTGGTGGACTACATGGGTGGACTATAGTGGTGGACTAAATGGGTGGACTATAGTGGTGGACTAAATGGGTGGACTATAGTGGTGGACCACATGGGTGGACTATAGTGGTGGACTACATGGGTGGACTATAGTGGCGGACTGTAGTGGTGGACTAAATGGGTGGACTATAGTGGTGGACTACATGGGTGGACTAAATGGGTGGACTATAGTGGTGGACTATAGTGGTGGACTACATGGGTGGACTACAGTGGTGGACTACATGGGTGGACTATAGTGGTGGACTATGGTGGCGGACTACATGGGTGGACTACATGGGTGGATTATAGTGGTTGACTATATGGGTGGACTATAGTGGTGAACTACATGGGTGGACTATAGTGATGGACTACATGGGTGGACTATAGTGGTGGACTACATGGGTGGACTATAGTGGTGGACTGTAGTGGTGGACTACATGGGTGGACTACATGGGTGGACTACATGGGTGGATTATAGTGGTTGACTTAATGTGTGGAATATAGTGGTGGACTATAGTGGTGGACTACATGGGTGGACTATAGTGGTGGGCCGCATGTGTGGACTATAGTGGTGGACTACATGGGTGGACTATAGTGGTGGACTACATGGGTGGACTATGGTGGTGGACTACATGGGTGGACTCTACTGGGGGCGTGCGGCGTCTGTAACTTGTGTGTTTCTCTCCCCCTACTGCTGACACCTGGAGGAGGAGGAGGTGGTGGTGGTAGTGGTGGAGGTGGTGGTGGTGGAGTAGGTGGTGGAAGTGGTGGTGGAGGTGGTGGTGGAGTAGGTGGTGGAGTAGGTGGTGGAGTAGGTGGTGGAGGTGGTGGTGGAGGTGGTGGTGGTGGAGGGAGATTCAAAAAGCTCAGAAAGTTAAAGAGATTTAAAAAGCGTCCTAAGGGTGGAGGTGGTGGTGATGGTGGTGATGGTGGAGGTGGTGGTGGTGGACGTGATGGTGGTGGTGGTGGTGGAGGTGATGGTGGACGTGATGGTGGAGGTGGTGGTGGTGGTGGCCCGGACGTCACAGGTGAGACTTACCGTAGCGGGGGCAGGGGGTGGGGAGGGCTACCTGGGGGATCTTTGTCTTTGTGTGTAATCACTGGGGGAGAGACAAAGACGGCCGGGCGTGGTGCTGCTGCTGGCCACAGTGCCGGTACCCTTCATAGGTGCTGCCCTTGCCCCTACAGCCCTGCTAGAGGCTACCTGGGGGAGCTTTGTCTTTGTGTGTGAGACACTGCACTTGCCCCTACAGCCCTGCTAGAGGCTACCTGGGGGATCTTTGTCTATGTGTGTCTAACACTGCACTTGGCCCTACAGCCCTGCTAGAGGCTACCTGGGGGAGCTTTGTAATGATGTAAGTGCAGATTCATAACCATGATGGTGGTGGTGGTGATGATGGTGGTGGTAGTGGTGGTAATGGTGATGATGGTGATGGTGGTGATGGTGATGATGATGGTGGTGATGGTGATGATGATGATGGTGGTGATGATTGTGATGATGATGATGATGGTGGTGGTGATGTTGATGGTGATGATGTTGTTGATGGTGATGGTGGTGATGATGATGATGGTGGTGATGGTGGTGATGTTGTTGATGATGGTGGTGGTGGTGGTGATGGTGGTGGTGGTGATGATGGTGATGGTGGTGATGATGATGATGGTGGTGATGATGGTGGTGATGATGATGATGGTGGTGATGATGATGGTGATGATGGTGATGATGGTGGTGATGATGGTGGTGATGATGATGGTGGTGATGATGATGATGGTGGTGATGATGATGGTGATGATGGTGGTGATGATGATGGTGATGATGGTGGTGATGATGGTGATGATGGTGATGGTGGTGATGATGATGGTGATGATGGTGGTGATGGTGATGATGATGATGGTGATGATGGTGGTGATGGTGGTGATGGTGGTGATGACGATGATGATGGTGATGTTGATGGTGGTGATGATGGTGGTGATGGTGGTGATGATGATGATGATGGTGGTGATGATGATGATGGTGGTGATGTTGATGGTGGCGATGGTGGTGATGATGATGATGGTGGTGATGATGATGATGATGGTGGTGATGGTGATGTTGATGATGGTGATGATGGTGATGATGTTGTTGATGGTGATGATGGTGATGATGTTGTTGATGGTGATGGTGGTGATGGTGATGGTGATGATGGTGATGTTGTTGATGGTGAGGTTGGTGATGATGGTGGTGATGTTCAGGCAGCAAGACATCAGAGAGTGATTCGTTTGTGGAGAAGCTGACCACACAAATCTTGAGGAATCTGCAGCTCAAAGTCAGCCGGATTCACGTACGGTACGAAGACAACGTGAGTAATGTATCATCATCATCATCATGATCATCATCATCATGATCATCATGATCATCATCATCATCATCACCATCAACATCATCATCAACATCACCATCATCACCATCATCATCATGATCATCATCATCAACATCATCATCACCATCATCATCTTCACCATCATCATCACCATCATCATCACCATCACCATCAACAACATCATCACCACCATCATCATCACCATCATCACCACCATCACCATCACCACCATCATCATCACCATCATCATCACCATCATCATCACCATCATCATCACCATCACCATCATCAACACCATCATCAACAACACCATCATCAACAACATCACCATCATCATCACCATCATCATCACCATCATCATCACCATCATCATCAACATCAACAACATCAACATCAACAACACCAACAACATCAACAACAACATCATCATCATCATCACCATCATCAACAACATCACCATCACCACCATCATCATCACCATCATCATCACCATCATCATCATCAACATCACCAACATCATCATCAACATCACCATCACCATCATCACCATCATCATCATTAACATCATCACCATCATCACCATCATCACCATCAACATCATTAACAACATCATCATCATCATCAACAACATCACCACCATCACCACCATCACCACCATCATCATCAACAACAACATCATCATCAACAACATCAACATCACCATCATCATCATCAACATCAACAACATCATCACCATCATCATCAACATCACCATCATCATCATCAACAACAACATCATCATCAACAACATCATCACCATCATCATCACCATCATCATCACCATCATCAACAACAACAACATCACCATCAACAACATCATCACCATCACCATCATCATCACCATCATCATCAACATCACCATCATCATCAACAACAACAACATCACCATCAACAACATCATCACCATCATCATCACCATCATCATCACCATCATCATCACCATCATCATCACCACCATCATCATCAACATCAACAACATCACCACCATCAACATCATCACCACCATCACCATGAACAACATCATTAACAACATCAACAACATCACCATCATCACCATCAACAACATCATCACCATCACCACCATCAACAACATCACCACCATCAACATCATCACCATCAACAACATCATCATCATCACCATCATCACCATCAACAACATCATCACCACCATCAACATCACCATCAACATCACCACCATCATCAACATCATCAACAACATCACCATCAACATCACCACCACCATCACCATCAACAACATCATCACCATCAACACCATCACCACCATCACCACCATCACCATCATCACCATCAACATCATCAACATCACCACCATCACCAGCATCACCACCATCACCATCAACATAATCACCACCATCACCAGCATCACCACCATCACCATCAACATCATCACCATCATCACCATCTACACCATCATCAACATCACCATCACCACCATCACCACCATCATCAACATCATCATCATCACCACCATCACCACCATCATCACCATCAACATCACCATCACCACCATCATCATCATCACCATCACCACCATCAACATCAACATCATCAACATAATCACCGCCATCACCACCATCACCAGCATCACCACCACCACCATCACCACCATCACCACCATCATCATTACCACCATCATCACCATCACCACCTTCACCACCACCATCATCATCATCACCACCACCATCACCATCAACATAATCACCACCATCACCAGCATCACCACCATCAACATCACCATCACCACCATCAACATCATCAACATCACCATCATCCCCACCATCAACACCATCACAATCATCACCATCATCATCAACATCATCATCACCATCATTATCACCACCATCAACATCACCATCACCACCATAATCACCATCACCACCATCACCATCACCACCATCATCATCACCATCATCACCATCAACATCATCAACACCATCAACATCTCCACCACCATCAACATCACCACCCCCATCACCCCCACCACCATCACCACCATCACCACCACCATCACCACCATCACCACCACCATCACCACCACCACCATCACCACTACTACCACCATCACCACCATCACCACCAGCACCACCACAATCACCACCATCAACGCATGTTGCTGCTGCTGATGATAATGATGATGTTGATGATGTTGTTGCTAGTGATGATGATGATGTTGATGATGATGTTGTTGCTACTGATGATGATGTTGATGATGATGATGTTGATGATGATGTTGATGATTCTGTTGATGATGTTGCTACTGATGATGTTGATGAAGATGATGTTGATAATGATGTTGATGATGATGTTGTTGCTACTGATGATGATGTTACTAGTGATGATGATGATGTTGATGCTGATGATGTTGATGCTGATGATGATGATGTTGATGATGATGATGATGTTGATGATGTTGATGATGATGATGTTGATTATGGTGGTGATGATGATGATGTTGATGATGATGTTGATGATGATGTTGTTGATGATGATTTTAATCCTGCTGCTGCTGATGATGCTGCTGATGCTGCTGATGCTGCTGATGATGATGTTGATGATCCCAGGTCACCTACCCGTCCCGTGCTATCGCTGTGGGCATCACGCTGGGAAGTCTTAGTTTCCAGGTGACGAGAATCACACCATCATACCATCACCATCACACCATCACATCACACCATCATACCATCACCATCACACCATCACATCACACCATCACCATCTCACCATCACCATCACACCATCACCATCACACCATCACCACCATCACCATCACACCATCACATCACACCATCACCATCTCACCATCACCATCACACCATCACCATCACACCATCACCATCACACCATCACATCACACCATCACCATCTCACCATCACACCATCACCATCACACCATCACCATCACACCATCACACCATCACATCACACCATCACCATCACACCATCACCATCACACCATCACCATCACACCATCACATCACACCATCACCATCTCACCATCACCATCACACCATCACCATCACACCATCACCACCATCACCACCATCACACCATCACCATCACACCATCACACCATCACCATCACACCATCACACCATCACACCATCACACCATCACCATCACACCATCACCATCACACCATCACCATCATCACCATCACACCATCACACCATCACCATCACACCATCACACCATCACCATCACACCATCACCATCACACCATCACACCATCACCATCACACCATCACACCGTCACACCATCACCATCACACCATCACCATCACACCATCACACCATCATCACCATCACACCATCACCATCACACCATCACACCATCACACCATCACCATCACACCATCACACCATCACCATCACACCATCACCATCACACCATCACACCATCACCATCACACCATCACACCGTCACACCATCACCATCACACCATCACCATCACACCATCACACCATCATCACCATCACACCATCACCATCACACCATCACACCATCACACCATCACACCGTCACACCATCACCATCACACCATCACCATCACACCATCACACCATCATCACCATCACACCATCACCATCACACCATCACACCATCACCATCACACCATCACACCATCACCATCACACCATCACCATCACACCATCACACCATCACCATCACACCATCACACCATCACACCATCACCATCACACCATCATACCATCACACCATCAACATCACACCATCACACCATCACACGATCACCATCACACCATCACACCATCACCATCACACCATCACACCATCACCATCACACCATCACACCATCACACCATAACCATCACACCATCACCATCTCACCATCACACCATCACCATCACACCATCACACCATCACCATCACACCATCACACCGTCACACCATCACCATCACACCATCACACCATCACCATCACACCATCACCATCACACCATCACACCATCACCATCACACCATCACCATCACACCATCACCATCACACCATCACCATCACACCATCACACCATCACCATCACACCATCACCATCACACCATCACACCGTCACACCATCACACCATCACACCATGACCATCACACCATCACCATCACACCATCACCATCACACCATTACACCATGGTGATGGTGATGTTGTTGTTGTTGATGTCGATGTTATTGCTGATGTTGTTGATGATGTTGATGTTGGTGATGTTAATGTTGACGTTGTTGTTGGTGATGTTGTTGTTGATGTTGTTGATGTTGTCGATGTTTCTGTTGATATTGATGTTGTTGATGATGTTGTTGATGTTGATCTTGTTGATGTTGTTGATATTGATGTTGTTGATGTTGATGATGTTGTTGATATTGATGTTGTTGTTGATGTTGTTGTTAACAGACAACAAACAGCAACTGGGTACCAAGTCTTCTTCATGAAACAGATGAACTCGTCTTTAACAAGGTGATGGTGGTGATGGTGGTGATGGTGGTGGTGATGGTGGTGGTGATGGTGGTGATGGTGGTGATGTTGACGTTGATGGTGGTGATGGTGGTGATGATGGTGATGATGGTGGTGATGATGGTGGTGATGGTGGTGGTGATGGTGGTGATGATGGTGGTGGTGGTGGTGATTGTGATGATGGTGGTGGTGATGGTGGTGTTGATGGTGGTGATGGTGGTGAGGGTGGTGGTGAGGGTGGTGAGGGTGGTGATGGTGGTGGTGATGGTGGTGATGATGGTGGTGGTGATGGTGATGATGATGGTGGTGGTGATGGTGATGGTGTTGATGGTGGTGGTGGTGATGATGGTGGTGAGGGTGGTGAGGGTGGTGATGGTGGTGGTGATGGTGGTGGTGATGGTGGTGATGATGGTGGTGGTGATGGTGGTGAAGGTGGTGATGATGGTGGTGGTGATGGTGGTGATGGTGGTGATGTTGACGGTGGTGATGGTGGTGATGATGGTGATGGTGGTGGGGGTGGTGGTGGTGATGGTGGTGATGGTGGTGATGGTGGTGGTGATGGTGGGGGTGGTGGTGATGGTGGTGATGATGGTGGTGGTGATGGTGGTGATGATGGTGGTGGTGGTGGTGATGGTGTTGATGGTGGTGGTAGTGATGATGGTGGTGAGGGTGGTGATGGTGGTGATGATGGTGGTGGTGGTGGTGATGATGGTGGTGGTGATGGTGGTGAAGGTGGTGATGATGGTGGTGGTGATGGTGGTGATGGTGATGGTGGTGATGTTGACGTTGATGGTGGTGATGGTGGTGATGATGGTGGTGATGGTGGTGATGATGGTGGTGATGGTGGTGATGGTGGTGATGATGGTGGTGGTGGTGATGGTGGTGATGGTGGTGATGGTGATGATCGTGGTGATGGTGGTGATCGTGGTGAGGGTGGTGATGGTGATGGTGGTGATGGTGGTGATGATGGTGGTGGTGATGGTGGTGATGATGGTGTTGATGTTGCTGATGATGTTACTGATGCTGCTGCTGATGATGATGTTACTGATGATGATGCTGCTGCTGATGATGATGATGATGTTACTGATGATGATGGTGATGATGATGCTACTGATGATGATGTTGCTGATGATGATGCTGATGATGATGTTACTGATGATGATGTTACTGATGATGATGTTGCTAATGATGATGTTACTGATGATGCTGCTGCTGATGATGATGCTGATGCTGCTGCTGATGATGCTACTGATGATGCTGATGATGCTGCTGCTGATGATGATGTTACTGATGATGATGATGTCTCCACAGCTTGGCCAGCTAGACAGTTTGGCTGTTTATTGTAACATCAACGGGGACCTCATCTCTCAGAGTAGTCAACAACAAACTCTGGTGAGCATAGCTACTCACCACTACTCACCACTACTCACCACTTCTCACCACTACTCACTCACCCACTCACTCACCCACTCACTCACCCACTCACTCACCCACTCACTCACTCACTCACCCACCCACTCACTCACTCACCCACTCACCCACTCACTCACTCACACACCCACTCACTCACTCACCCACTCACCCACTCACTCACCACTACTCACTCACTCACCCACTCACTCACCCACTCACTCACTCACCCACTCACTCACCCACTCACTCACCCACTCACCACCCACTCACTCACTCACTCACCCACTCACCCACTCACTCACTCAAACACCCACTCACTCACTCACCCACTCACTCACCACTACTCACCACTACTCACCACTACTCACTCACTCACTCACCCACTCACCCACTCACTCACCACTACTCACCACTACTCACTCACCCACTCGCTCACCCACTCGCTCACCCACTCACCCACTCACTCACTCACCCACTCACCCACTCACTCACCCACTCACTCACTCACCCACTCACTCACACACCCACTACTCACTCACCCACTCACTCACTCACCCACCCACTCACTCACCCACTCACCCACTCACTCACTCACACACCCACTCACTCACCCACTCACTCACCCACTCACTCACTCACTCACCCACTCACTCACTCACTCACCCACTCACTCACCCACTCACTCACCCACTCACCCACCCACTCACTCACTCACTCACCCACTCACCCACTCACTCACTCAAACACCCACTCACTCACCACTACTCACCACTACTCACCACTACTCACTCACTCACTCACCCACTCACCCACTCACTCACCACTACTCACCACTACTCACCACTACTCACTCACCCACTCGCTCACCCACTCGCTCACCCACTCACCCACTCACTCACTCACCCACTCACTCACTCACTCACCCACTCACTCACTCACCCACTCACTCACACACCCACTACTCACTCACCCACTCACTCACTCACCCACCCACCCACTCACTCACCCACTCACCCACTCACCCACTCACTCACTCACACACCCACTCACTCACCCACTCACTCACCCACTCACTCACCCACTCACTCACTCACACACCCACTCACCCACCCACCCACTCACTCACCCACTCACTCACCCACTCACTCACTCACTCACCCACTCACTCACTCACCCACTCACTCACTCACCTACTCACCCACTCACCACTACTCACTCACCCACTCGCTCACCCACTCACACACTCACCACTCACTCACCACTCACCCACCCACTCATCCATTCACCACCCACCCACTCACTCACCCACTCACCCACTCACTCACTCACCCACTCACTCACCACTCACCACCCACTCACCACTCACCCACCCACTCACTCACCCACCCACTCACTCACTCACCCATTCACTCACCCACCCACTCACCCGCTCACCCACTCACTCACCACTCACCACCCACTCACCACTCACCCACCCACTCACTCACTCACCCACTCACTCACCCACTAACCCACTCACTCACTCACCCACTCACTCACTCACTCACCCACCCACTCACTCACTCACTCACCCACCCACTCACCACCCACTCACCACTCACTCACTCACCCACCCACTCACCACCCACTCACCACTCACTCACCACTCACTCACTCACCCACCCACTCACCACTCAGTCACCCACTCACTCACTCACCCACTCACCACTCACTCACCCACTCACCACTCACCATACACCCACTCACCACTCACCACCCACTCACCACTCAGTCACCCACTCACCACTCACCACACACCCACTCACCACCCACTCACCACCCACTCACCACCCACTCACCACCCACTCACCACTCACCCACCCACTCACTCATTCATTTACCCATTCACTCACTTACCCACCCACTCACCCACTCACCCACTCACCACCCACTCACCCACCCACCCACCCACTCACCCACCCACTCACTCACCCACCCACTCACTCACCCACCCACTCACCCACCCACTCACTCACTCACTCACCACTCACTCACCACCCACTCACTACTCACCCACCCACTCACTCACCACCCACCCACTCACCACTCACCACCCACCCACCACTCACTCACCCACCCACCCACTCACCCACCCACCCACTCACTCACCACCCACCACCCACCCACTCACTCACTCACTCACCCACCCACTCACTCACTCACCCACCCACTCACCACTCAATCACTCACCCACTCACCACCCACTCACCACTCACTCACTCGCCCACCCACTCACCACTCAGTCACCCACTCACCCACCCACTCACCCACCCACCCACTCACTCACCCACTCACTCACCCACCCACCACTCACCACCCACCACCCACCCACCACTCACTCACCCACCCACCCACCCACTCACTCACTCACCCACCCACCCACTCACCCACCCACTCACCACCCACTAACTCACTCACCCACTCACCACCCACTCACCCACCCACTCACCACCCACTCACCCACCCACTCACCACCCACTCACTCACTCACCCACCCACCCACCCACTCACCCACCCACTCACCCACCCACCCACCACTCACCACCCACCACCCACTCACCACTCACTCACCCACCCACCCACTCACCCACCCACTCACCCACCCACTCATCCACCCACCCACTCACTTACCCACCCACTCACCCACCCACTCACTCACCCACCCACCCACTCACCACCCACTCACTCACGCACCCACCCACTCACCCACCCACCCACCCACTCACCCACCCACTCACCCACCCACCACTCACCACCCACCACCCACCCACCACTCACTCACCCACCCACTCACCCACTCACCCACCCACCCACTCACTCACCCACTCACCCACCCACCACTCACTCACCTACCCACTCACCCACCCACCCACTCACCCACCCACCCACTCACTCACCACCCACCCACTCACCACCCACTCACCCACCCACTCACCACCCACTCACCCACTCACCACTCACTCACCCACCCACCACTCACCACCCACCCACTCACCACCCACCCACCACTCACCACCCACCCACTCACCACCCACTCACTCATTCACCCACTCACCCACCCACTCACTCACCCACCCACCACTCACCACCCACCCACTCACCCACCCACCCACCCACCACCCACTCACCCACCCACCACTCACTCACCTACCCACTCACCCACCCACCCACTCACCCACCCACCCACTCACTCACCACCCACCCACTCACCACCCACTCACCCACCCACTCACCACCCACTCACCCACTCACCACTCACTCACCCACCCACCACTCACCACCCACCCACTCACCACCCACCCACCACTCACCACCCACCCACTCACCACCCACTCACTCATTCACCCACTCACCCACCCACTCACTCACCCACCCACCACTCACCACCCACCCACTCACCCACCCACCCACCCACCACCCACTCACCCACCCACCCACTCACCACCCACCCACCACCCACTCACTCACCCACCCACTCACCACTCACTCACCCACCCACCTACTCACCACCCACCCACCACCCCCTCTCTCTGGCTCTCCCCAGGAGCTGCTGAAGCAAGGAGTGGCAAGCTCCTCCCACGTCCCTCCACTGTACCAGTACAGTACGTACAGTGTGTACAGTGCACGGCGCTGAACAGTGCGTGCAGGGCATACAGTGTGTACAGTCCGTCTCTGTGTGTCTGTGTGTCTGTGTGTGTCTGTGTGTGTGTGTCGGTGTGTGTGTCTGTGTGTGTGTCTGTGTGTCTGTGTGTGTCTGTGTGTGTGTGTCGGTGTGTGTGTCTGTGTGTGTGTCTGTGTGTCTGTGTGTGTCTGTGTGTGTGTGTCTGTGTGTGTGTCTATGTGCCTGGGTATTTTGTGCCATCGGACACTCCACCCCCACAACTCCCAATCGGTGATGGAGCAGTTGTGGAGAGAGTGGAGAGTTTCCCATACCTGGGCAGTGTGCTCATGACCGGCTCCAGTTTAACAGCAGAGGTCTCACTCCGAATCAGTCGAGCGGCAATATCTTTTCATCGGTTGCGTAACGCTGTGTGGAAGCTACCTGGTCTGTCGCTCCGCACTAAGCTTCAGGTCTTCTCGGCCACGGTCATTCCCTCCCTTCTCTACGCTTGCGAAACATGGACCCCCCTAATGGAACATCTTCGCCGGTTAGAAACATTTAGGCTGGCCTGCCTACGATCCATCCTGGGTTTAACCAGACTGGATTGTGTGAGGAGCTCACAAATCCTTGAAAGATCTGGGCAAGGTCCCATCGGTGAGCTCCTCCGGCAGGCAAGGCTGCGATGGCTGGGTCATGTAGCCCGCATGCCCAGCCACCGCATGCCGAAACAGCTTTTGTTCGGCCGGATTGAGGGGGCTAAGCGGGCGCGGCACGGGCTAGAGAATAGATGGAGTGACGTGGTACAGGAGGACGTGGAGCTGAGTGGACTTGCCGATGAGACTGGTACTAGCGGTGTCAAGATCGGCCTCTGTGGAGGAGGCTCGTGAAGGATGCTACTGGGCAGTTGGAGGCAGTCGCCCTCCAACAACAACGGAGGGCGGAGGAGCGACGCTCACAACAACGAGCGGAGCGCTGGGTGGCTAAAGCACAGCAGGTTGGCACAGTAGGGGGCACAGGTGGTGCATCAGCCAGTCATCTCAGTCATCTCAGTCATCTCAGTCATCTCAGTCAGTCGACCCGTGGCACCTGGATCTGCCCCGTGACCTCCTGCCAGCGGGCGTTCGACACTTCACGTGGCCTCAAGGTGCACATAGCCTGGCACAAGCGTCGTGGTGACGTCACCGCCACTTAGTGGCGAATGGCGGTTGTTGTTGTCTGTGTGTCTGTGTGTGTGTCCGTGTGTCACTGTGTGTGTTTATGTGTCTGTGTGTGTGTGTCTGTGGGTGTGTCTGTGTGTCACTGTGTGTGTGTCTATGTGTGTGTGTGTGTGTCACTGTGTGTGTGTGACTGTGTGTGTGTGTCACTGTGTGTCACTGTGTGTGTGTGTCACTGTGTGTGTCACTGTGTGTGTCACTGTGTGTGTGTGTGTCACTTTGTGTGTGTGTCACTGTGTGTGTGTGTCACTGTGTCACTGTGTGTGTGTGACTGTGTGTGTGTGTGTGACTGTGTGTGTGTCACTGTGTGTGTGTGTCACTGTGTGTGTGTCACTGTGTGTGTGTCTATGTGTCACTGTGTGTCTATGTGTGTCACTGTGTGTGTGTCACTGTGTGTGTCACTGTGTGTCTATGTGTGTCACTGTGTGTGTAGTTCTCCCACCCGTGTGTGGAGTGTCCCGTGTCTGTGTGTGTCCTCCACGCGTCTCGTCCACCACCGCCCCAACTCGTCCCAAGGTGGAGGTGGATGCAGCCATCACCTCCCTCGCCCTCGCACTGTCCCACGAGCAGGTGACTGGCACCACGCGCACTGTACACACTGTACACACTGTCCCACGAGCAGGTGACTGGCACCACGCGCACTGTACACACTGCATACACTGTACACACTGTCCCACGAGCAGGTGACTGGCACCACGGGCACTGTACACACTGTACACACTATATTTTATATGCACTGTACACACTGTATACTGTGCACACTGGACACACTACACACTGTACACACTACACACTGTCTGTGCACACACTACACACTGTAACACTACACTGTCTGTGTACACACTACACACTGTACACACTGCACAATGTACACACTGTCTGTGTACACACTACTACACCGTACACTGTACACACCACACACTGTAGGTGCACACACGATACACTGTACACACTACACACTGTACACATTACACACATACCCTGTGTACACACTGTGTACACACTGTGTACACACTGTGTTAGTGTGTACACAGTTAGTGTGTACACAGTTAGTGTGTACACACTAACTGTGTACACACTAACTGTGTACACACACACTAACTGTGTACACACTAACTGTGTACACACACACACTGTGTACACACTAACTGTGTACACACTAAATGTGTACACACTAAATGTGTACACACTAACTGTGTACACACTAACTATGTGTACACACACTAACTGTGTACACACTAACTATGTGTACACACTAACTGTGTACACACTAACTATGTGTACACATTACAGTATCTGTGTGCCGTGGATTTTGTGGAGAGCGTGGAGCGTGTACACAGTGTGTACACACACACTGTGTACACATAGTTAGTGTGTGTACACACACTAACTATGTGTACACACTAACTGTGTACACACACTAACTGTGTACACACACTAACTGTGTACACACTAACTATGTGTACACACTAACTGTGTACACACTAACTATGTGTACACACACTGTGTACACACTAACTATGTGTACACACTAACTGTGTACACACACACTGTGTACACACACTAACTGTGTACACACTAACTGTGTACACACTAACTGTGTACACACACACTGTGTACACACACTAACTGTGTACACACTAACTGTGTACACACACTAACTGTGTGTGTACACAGTGTGTGTACACACTAACTGTGTACACACACTAACTGTGTACACACACACTGTGTACACACACTAACTGTGTACACACTAACTGTGTACACACTAACTGTGTACACACACACTGTGTACACACACTAACTGTGTACACACTAACTGTGTACACACACTAACTGTGTGTGTACACAGTGTGTGTACACACTAACTGTGTACACACACTAACTGTGTACACACACACTGTGTACACACACTAACTGTGTACACGCACTAACTGTGTACACACTAACTGTGTACACACACACTGTGTACACACACTAACTGTGTACACACACTAACTGTGTACACACTAACTGTGTACACACACTAACTGTGTACACACACTAACTATGTGTAAACATTACAGTATCTGTGTGCCGTGGATTTCGTGGAGAGCGTGGAGCGGATGATTCTCAACGCTCCGTTCCGGAAGTTCCGTCCCAATGTACCGGTCCATGGACATGCAGCGGCGTGGTGAGTACACGCAGACACACACACACACACGTGTACACACACATACACACACACGTGTACACACACATACACACACACACACACGTGTACACACATAGACACACTCACTCACGTACACACACACACACACGTGTGCACACACTCACACACACGTACACACACACGTACACACACACACGTACACACACACACACGTACACACACACGTACACACACACGTACACACACACACACACGTACACACACACGTGTACACACACACACGTACACACACACGCACACGTACACACACACACACACGTGTACATACACACGTACACACACACTCACATACACACACATGTACACACACACACACGTACACACACACACACACGTACACACACACACACACGTGTACACACACACGTACACACACACACTCACATACACACACACGTGTACACACACACACGTGTACACACACACACGTATACACACACACACACGTACACACACACACACGTACACACACACACACACGTACACACACACACACACGTACACACACACACAGTGTTACAAAGACAAAGACAAAGATCCCCCGTATAGCCTTAACAGACTGTAGGGGCAAGTGCTGTTAGCGAACACCTATGAAGGCCGGAACGGTACACGAGGGGGTGGGTGGCCAGCCCCACGCCCGACCGCCTTTGTCTCCCTAGTGGCAATGTTTACACACCGCACCAGGTACTCATTTGAGGCTGAGTCGACCTAGAGGAGGCCCGGGACCGGTTCAGATAATCGTCACTGGTGTTGGCCGTGAGCGGGAATCGAACCCGGGTCGCCAGGTTCATAGCGCAGCGTAGCGCTAACCGCTACACCACCGCTCCCCACACGCACACACACACGTACGTACACACACCGGTGACCCGTCCCGAGCCTCCCCTAGGTCGACTCAGCCTCAAATGAGTACCTGGTGCGGTGTGTAAACATCGCCACTAGGGAGACAAAGGCGGTCGGGCGTGGTGCTGGCCACCCACCCCCTCGTGTACCGTTCCGGCCTTCATAGGTGCTCGCTAACAGCACTTGCCCCTACAGTCTGTTAAGGCTATACGGGGGATCTTTGTGTGACTGTGTCTGTGTATGACTGTGTGTGTGTGACTGTGTGTGTGTGTGACTGTGTGTGTGTCTGTGTGACTGTGTGTGTGTGTGACTGTGTGTGTGTGACTGTGTGTGTGACTGTGTGTGTGACTGTGTGTGTGTGACTGTGTTAGTGTGTGTGTGACTGTGTGTGTGTGACTGTGTGTGTGTGACTGTGTGTGTGTGACTGTGTGTGTGACTGTGTGTGTGACTGTGTTAGTGTGTGTGTGACTGTGTGTGTGTGTGTGCCTGTGTGTGTGACTGTGTGTGTGTGTGACTGTGTGTATGTGACTGTGTGTGTGTGACTGTGTGTGTGACTATGTGTGTGTGTCTGTGTGTGTGTGTGTGTCTGTGTGTGTGTGTGACTGTGTGTGTGACTGTGTGTGTGACTGTCTGTGTGTGTCTGTGTGTGTGTGTGTGTGACTGTGTGTGTGTCTCTGTGTGACTGTGACTGTGTGTGTGTGTGACTGTGTGTGTGACTGTGTGTGTGACTGTCTGTGTGTGTCTGTGTGTGTGTGTGACTGTGTGTGTGTCTCTGTGTGACTGTGACTGTGTGTGTGTGACTGTGTGTGTCTGTGTGTGTGTGTGACTGTGTGTGTGACTGTGTGTGTGACTGTCTGTGTGTGTCTGTGTGTGTGTGTGTGACTGTGTGTGTGTCTCTGTGTGACTGTGACTGTGTGTGTGTGTGACTGTGTGTGTGACTGTGTGTGTGACTGTGTGTGTGACTGTGTGTGTGACTGTGTCACTGTGTGACTGTGTGTGACTGTGTGTGTGTGACTGTGTGACTGTGTGTGACTGTGTGTGTGTCTGTGTGTGACTGTGTGACTGTGTAGGTGGAGTTACTCCGTGAACTGCGTGCTGCTACGCTGTAGCCAGTGGAGTTGGCCCCGCATGCGAGCTCACCGTGCCTGTGACTGTCTGTGTGTGACTGTGTGTGACTGTGTGTGACGGTGTGTGTGACTGTGTGTGTGTGACTGTGTGTGTGTGTGACTGTGTGTCTGTGTGTGACTGTGTGTGTGTGACTGTGTGTGTGTGTGTGACTGTGTGTGTGTGTGACTGTGTGTGTCTGTGTGACTGTGTGTGTGTGTGTCTGTGTGTGTGTGACTGTGTGTGTACTGTGTGTGACTGTGTGTGTGTGTCTGTGTGTGTGTGACTGTGTGTGACTGTGTGTGTGTGACTGTGTGTGTGACTCTGTGTGTGTGTGTGACTGTGTGTGTACTGTGTGTGACTGTGTGTGACTGTGTGTGTGTGACTGTGTGTGTGACTGTGTGTGTGACTCTGTGTGTGTGTGTGTGTGACTGTGTGTGTGTGACTGTGTGTGTGTGTGACTGTGTGTGTGTGAGTGTGTGTGTGTGAGTGTGTGTGTGTGTCACTGTGTGTGACTGTGTGTGTGTGACTGTGTGTGTAGGTGGAGTTACTCCGTGAACTGCGTGCTCCTACGCTGTAGCCAGTGGAGTTGGCCCCGCATGCGAGCTCACCGTGCCTGTGACTGTGTGTGTGACTGTGTGTGTGTGACTGTGTGTGTGTGACTGTGTGTGTGACTGTGTGTGTGTGACTGTGTGTGTGTGTGTCTGTGTGTGACTGTGTGTGTGTGACTGTGTGTGTGACTGTGTGACTGTGTGTGTGACTGTGTGTGACTGTGTGACTGTGTGTGACTGTGTGTGACTGTGTGACTGTGTGTGACTGTGTGTGTGTGACTGTGTGACTGTGTGTGACTGTGTGTCACTGTGTGTGACTGTGTGTGTGTGACTGTGTGTGTGTGTCACTGTGTGTGTGACTGTGTGTGTGTGTGACTGTGTGTGACTGTGTGTCTGTGTAGGTGGAGTTACTCCGTGAACTGCGTGCTCCTACGCTGTCGCCAGTGGAGTTGGCCCCGCATGCGAGCTCACCGTGCCTGTGACTGTGTGTGTGTGTGACTGTGTGTGTGTGTGTGACTGTGTGTGTGTGACTGTGTGTGTGACTGTGTGTGTGACTGTGTGTGTGACTGTGTGTGTGTGACTGTGTGTGTGACTGTGTGTGTGTGACTGTGTGTGTGTGTCTGTGTGTGACTGTGTGTGTGTGACTGTGTGTGTGACTGTGTGACTGTGTGTGTGACTGTGTGTCTGTGTGTGACTGTGTGTGTGTGACTGTGTGTCTGTGTGTGACTGTGTGTGTGTGACTGTGTGTGTGACTGTGTGACTGTGTGTGTGACTGTGTGTGACTGTGTGACTGTGTGTGACTGTGTGTGTGTGACTGTGTGACTGTGTGTGACTGTGTGTGTGTCTGTGTGTGACTGTGTGACTGTGTAGGTGGAGTTACTCCGTGAACTGCGTGCTGCTACGCTGTAGCCAGTGGAGTTGGCCCCGCATGCGAGCTCACTGTGCCTGTGACTGTGTGTGTGACTGTGTGTGTGTGTGACTGTGTGTGTGTGTGTGACTGTGTGTGTGACTGTGTGACTGTGTGTGTGTGACTGTGTGTGTGTGACTGTGTGACTGTGTGTGTGTGACTGTGTGTCTGTGTGTGACTGTGTGTGTGACTGTGTGTGTGACTGTGTGTGTGTGTGTGTGACTGTGTGACTGACTGTGTAGGTGGAGTTACTCCGTGAACTGCGTGCTCCTACGCTGTAGCCAGTGGAGTTGGCCCCGCATGCGAGCTCACCGTGACTGTGACTGTGTGTGTGTGTGACTGTGTGTGTGACTGTGTGTGTGTGACTGTGTGTGTGTGTGTGTGTGACTGTGTGTGTGACTGTGTAGGTGGAGTTACTCCGTGAACTGCGTACTGCTATGCTGTAGCGAGTGGAGTTGGCCCCGCATGCGAGCTCACCGTGACTGTGACTGTGTGTGTGACTGTGTGTGTGACTGTGTGTGTGTGTGACTGTGTGTGACTGACTGTGCAGGTGGAGTTACTCCGTGAACTGCGTGCTGCTACGCTGTCGCCAGTGGAGTTGGCCCCGCATGCGAGCTCACCGTGACTGTGTGTGTGTGTGTGACTGTGTGACTGTGTGTGTGTGACTGTGTGTGACTGTGTGTGTGTGTGTGTGACTGTGTGTGTGACTGTGTGACTGTGTGTGTGTGACTGTGTGGCTGTGTGTGTGTGACTGTGTGACTGTGTGTGTGTGACTGTGTGTGTGTGACTGTGTGACTGTGACTGTGTGTGTGTGTGACTGTGTGTGTGACTGTGTGTGTGACTGTGTGTGTGTGTGAGTGACTGTGTCACTGTGTGACTGTGTGTGACTGTGTGTGTGTGACTGTGTGACTGTGTGTGTCTGTGTGTGACTGTGTGTGTGTGACTGTGTGACTGTGCAGGTGGAGTTACTCCGTGAACTGCGTGCTGCTACGCTGTAGCCAGTGGAGTTGGCCCCGCATGCGAGCTCACCGTGCCTGTGACTGTGTGTGTGACTGCGTGTGACTGTGTGTGACGGTGTGTGTGACTGTGTGTGTGTGACTGTGTGTGTGTGTGACTGTGTGTCTGTGTGTGACTGTGTGTGTGTGACTGTGTGTGTGTGACTGTGTGTGTGTGTGACTGTGTGTGTGTGTGACTGTGTGTGTCTGTGTGACTGTGTGTGTGTGTGTCTGTGTGTGTGTGACTGTGTGTGTACTGTGTGTGACTGTGTGTGTGTGTCTGTGTGTGTGTGACTGTGTGTGACTGTGTGTGTGTGACTGTGTGTGTGACTCTGTGTGTGTGTGTGTGACTGTGTGTGTACTGTGTGTGACTGTGTGTGACTGTGTGTGTGTGACTGTGTGTGTGACTGTGTGTGTGACTCTGTGTGTGTGTGTGTGTGACTGTGTGTGTGTGACTGTGTGTGTGTGTGACTGTGTGTGTGTGAGTGTGTGTGTGTGAGTGTGTGTGTGTGTCACTGTGTGTGACTGTGTGTGTGTGACTGTGTGTGTAGGTGGAGTTACTCCGTGAACTGCGTGCTCCTACGCTGTAGCCAGTGGAGTTGGCCCCGCATGCGAGCTCACCGTGCCTGTGACTGTGTGTGTGACTGTGTGTGTGTGTCACTGTGTGACTGTGTGTGACTGTGTGTGTGACTGTGTAGGTGGAGTTACTCCGTGAACTGCGTGCTGCTACGCTGTCGCCAGTGGAGTTGGCCCCGCATGCGAGCTCACCGTGCCTGTGACTGTGTGTGTGACTGTGTGTGTGTGACTGTGTGTGTGTGACTGTGTGTGTGACTGTGTGTGTGTGACTGTGTGTGTGTGTGTCTGTGTGTGACTGTGTGTGTGTGACTGTGTGTGTGACTGTGTGACTGTGTGTGTGACTGTGTGTGACTGTGTGACTGTGTGTGACTGTGTGTGACTGTGTGACTGTGTGTGACTGTGTGTGTGTGACTGTGTGACTGTGTGTGACTGTGTGTCACTGTGTGTGACTGTGTGTGTGTGACTGTGTGTGTGTGTCACTGTGTGTGTGACTGTGTGTGTGTGTGACTGTGTGTGACTGTGTGTCTGTGTAGGTGGAGTTACTCCGTGAACTGCGTGCTCCTACGCTGTCGCCAGTGGAGTTGGCCCCGCATGCGAGCTCACCGTGCCTGTGACTGTGTGTGTGTGTGACTGTGTGTGTGACTGTGTGTGTGACTGTGTGTGTGTGACTGTGTGTGTGACTGTGTGTGTGACCGTGTGTGTGTGACTGTGTGTGTGACTGTGTGTGTGTGACTGTGTGTGTGTGTCTGTGTGTGACTGTGTGTGTGTGACTGTGTGTGTGACTGTGTGACTGTGTGTGTGACTGTGTGTCTGTGTGTGACTGTGTGTGTGTGACTGTGTGTGTGACTGTGTGACTGTGTGTGTGACTGTGTGTGACTGTGTGACTGTGTGTGTGACTGTGTGTGACTGTGTGTGTGACTGTGTGACTGTGTGTGTGACTGTGTAGGTGGAGTTACTCCGTGAACTGCGTGCTGCTACGCTGTAGCCAGTGGAGTTGGCCCCGCATGCGAGCTCACTGTGCCTGTGACTGTGTGTGTGACTGTGTGTGTGTGTGACTGTGTGTGTGTGTGTGACTGTGTGTGTGACTGTGTGACTGTGTGTGTGTGACTGTGTGTGTGTGACTGTGTGACTGTGTGTGTGTGACTGTGTGTCTGTGTGTGACTGTGTGTGTGACTGTGTGTGTGACTGTGTGTGTGTGTGTGTGACTGTGTGACTGTGTGACTGACTGTGTAGGTGGAGTTACTCCGTGAACTGCGTGCTCCTACGCTGTAGCCAGTGGAGTTGGCCCCGCATGCGAGCTCACCGTGACTGTGACTGTGTGTGTGTGTGACTGTGTGTGTGACTGTGTGTGTGTGACTGTGTGTGTGTGTGTGTGACTGTGTGTGTGACTGTGTAGGTGGAGTTACTCCGTGAACTGCGTACTGCTATGCTGTAGCGAGTGGAGTTGGCCCCGCATGCGAGCTCACCGTGACTGTGACTGTGTGTGTGACTGTGTGTGTGACTGTGTGTGTGTGTGACTGTGTGTGACTGACTGTGCAGGTGGAGTTACTCCGTGAACTGCGTGCTGCTACGCTGTCGCCAGTGGAGTTGGCCCCGCATGCGAGCTCACCGTGCCTGTGACTGTGTGTGTGTGACTGTGTGACTGTGTGTGTGTGACTGTGTGTGACTGTGTGTGTGTGTGTGTGTGTGACTGTGTGTGTGACTGTGTGACTGTGTGTGTGTGACTGTGTGGCTGTGTGTGTGTGACTGTGTGACTGTGTGTGTGTGACTGTGTGTGTGTGACTGTGTGTCTGTGTGTGACTGTGTGTGACTGTGTGACTGACTGTGTAGGTGGAGTTACTCCGTGAACTGCGTGCTCCTACGCTGTAGCCAGTGGAGTTGGCCCCGCATGCGAGCTCACCGTGCCTGTGACTGTGTGTGTGACTGTGTGTGTGTGACTGTGTGTGACTGTGTGACTGTGTGTGTGTGACTGTGTGTGTGTGTGACTGTGTGTGTAGGTGGAGTTACTCCGTGAACTGCGTGCAGCTACGCTGTAGCGAGTGGAGTTGGCCCCGCATGCGAGCTCACCGTGACTGTGACTGTGTGTGTGTGACTGTGTGTGACTGTGTGTGTGACTGTGTGACTGTGTGTGTGACTGTGTAGGTGGAGTTACTCCGTGAACTGCGTGCAGCTACGCTGTAGCGAGTGGAGTTGGCCCCGCATGCGAGCTCACCGTGCCTGTGACTGTGTGTGTGTGTGACTGTGTGTGACTGTGTGTGTGACTGTGTGTGTGTCTGTGTGTGACTGTGTGACTGTGTAGGTGGAGTTACTCCGTGAACTGCGTGCTCCTACGCTGTCGCCAGTGGAGTTGGCCCCGCATGCGAGCTCACCGTGCCTGTGACTGTGTGTGTGACTGTGTGTGACTGTCTGTGTGTGACTGTGTGTGACTGTGTGTGTGACTGTGTGACTGTGTGTGACTGTGTGTGTGTCTGTGTGTGACTGTGTGACTGTGTAGGTGGAGTTACTCCGTGAACTGCGTGCTGCTACGCTGTCGCCAGTGGAGTTGGCCCCGCATGCGAGCTCACCGTGACTGTGACTGTGTGTGTGACTGCGTGTGTGTCTGTGTGTGACTGTGTGACTGTGTGTGTGACTGTGTGTGTGTGTGTGTAGGTGTGACTGTGTGTGACTGCGTGTGTACTGTGTGTGACTGTGTGACTGTGTGTGACTGTGTGACTGTGTGTGTGTGACTGTGTGACTGTGTGACTGTGTAGGTGGAGTTACTCCGTGAACTGCGTGCTCCTACGCTGTCGCCAGTGGAGTTGGCCCCGCATGCGAGCTCACCGTGCCTGTGACTGTGTGTGTGTGTGACTGTGTGTGTGACTGTGTGTGTGACTGTGTGTGTGTGACTGTGTGTGTGACTGTGTGTGTGTGTGTGACTGTGTGACTGTGTGTGACTGTGTGACTGTGTAGGTGGAGTTACTCCGTGAACTGCGTGCAGCTACGCTGTAGCGAGTGGAGTTGGCCCCGCATGCGAGCTCACCGTGCCTGTGACTGTGTGTGTGACTGTGTGTCTGTGTGTGACGGTGTGTGTGACTGTGTGTGTGTGACTGTGTGTGTGACTGTGTGACTGTGTGTGTGACTGTGTAGGTGGAGTTACTCCGTGAACTGCGTGCTCCTACGCTGTCGCCAGTGGAGTTGGCCCCGCATGCGAGCTCACCGTGCCTGTGACTGTGTGTGTGTGTGACTGTGTGTGACTGTGTGTGTGACTGTGTGTGACTGTGTGACTGTGTAGGTGGAGTTACTCCGTGAACTGCGTGCTGCTACGCTGTCGCCAGTGGAGTTGGCCCCGCATGCGAGCTCACCGTGCCTGTGACTGTGTGTGTGACTGTGTGTGACTGTGTGTGTGTGACTGTGTGTGACTGTGTGTGTGTGTGACTGTGTGTGACTGTGTGTGTGTCTGTGTGTGTGTGACTGTGTGTGTGACTGTGTAGGTGGAGTTACTCCGTGAACTGCGTGCTGCTACGCTGTCGCCAGTGGAGTTGGCCCCGCATGCGAGCTCACCGTGCCTGTGACTGTGTGTGTGTGACTGTGTGTGACTGTGTGACTGTGTGTGTGTGTCACTGTGTGTGACTGTGTGACTGTGTGTGTGACTGTGTGTGTGTGACTGTGTGTGACTGTGTGACTGTGTGTGTGTGACTGTGTGTGTAGGTGGAGTTACTCCGTGAACTGCGTGCTGCTACGCTGTCGCCAGTGGAGTTGGCCCCGCATGCGAGCTCACCGTGCCTGTGACTGTGTGTGTGACTGTGTGTGTGTGACTGTGTGTGTGACTGTGTGTGTGTGACTGTGTGTGTGACTGTGTGTGTGTGTGTGACTGTGTGACTGTGTGTGACTGTGTGACTGTGTAGGTGGAGTTACTCCGTGAACTGCGTGCAGCTACGCTGTAGCGAGTGGAGTTGGCCCCGCATGCGAGCTCACCGTGCCTGTGACTGTGTGTGTGACTGTGTGTCTGTGTGTGACGGTGTGTGTGACTGTGTGTGTGTGACTGTGTGTGTGACTGTGTGACTGTGTGTGTGACTGTGTAGGTGGAGTTACTCCGTGAACTGCGTGCTCCTACGCTGTCGCCAGTGGAGTTGGCCCCGCATGCGAGCTCACCGTGCCTGTGACTGTGTGTGTGTGTGACTGTGTGTGACTGTGTGTGTGACTGTGTGTGACTGTGTGACTGTGTAGGTGGAGTTACTCCGTGAACTGCGTGCTGCTACGCTGTCGCCAGTGGAGTTGGCCCCGCATGCGAGCTCACCGTGCCTGTGACTGTGTGTGTGACTGTGTGTGACTGTGTGTGTGTGACTGTGTGTGACTGTGTGTGTGTGTGACTGTGTGTGACTGTGTGTGTGTCTGTGTGTGTGTGACTGTGTGTGTGACTGTGTAGGTGGAGTTACTCCGTGAACTGCGTGCTGCTACGCTGTCGCCAGTGGAGTTGGCCCCGCATGCGAGCTCACCGTGCCTGTGACTGTGTGTGTGTGACTGTGTGTGACTGTGTGACTGTGTGTGTGTGTCACTGTGTGTGACTGTGTGACTGTGTGTGTGACTGTGTGTGTGTGACTGTGTGTGACTGTGTGACTGTGTGTGTGTGACTGTGTGTGTAGGTGGAGTTACTCCGTGAACTGCGTGCTGCTACGCTGTCGCCAGTGGAGTTGGCCCCGCATGCGAGCTCACCGTGCCTGCCTCAAGGAGTACGGCGTTCTCTACGCACAGCAGCAGCAGCAGCTCCTCACCACCACCTCCTACACCTCGTCTCACAGGAAAGGAGGACAGCCCGTGATCAACATAGCACGCATACAGGTGATGGTGATGGTGGTGGTGGTGGTCGTGGTGGTGGTGATGGTGGTGATGATGATGGTGGTGGTGATGGTGGTGGTGGTGGTGATGGTGGTGGTGGTGATGGTGATGGTGGTGGTGATGGTGATGGTGGTAGTGGTGATGGTGGTGGTGGTGATGGTGGTGGTGGTGGTGGTGATGGTGGGTGGTGATGGTGGTGGGTGGTGATGGTGGTGGTGATGGTGGTGGTGGTGGTGATGGTGATGGTGGTGATGGTGGTGGTGGTGGTGATGGTGGTGGTGATGGTGGTGGTGATGATGGTGGTGGTGATGGTCGTGGTGATGGTGGTGGGTGGTGATGGTGGTGGTGATGGTGGTGGTGATGGTGATGGTGGTGGTGGTGATGGTGGTGGTGGTGGTGATGGTGGTGGTGATGGTGGTGGTGATGATGGTGGTGGTGATGGTCGTGGTGATGGTGGTGGTGATGATGGTGGTGGTGATGGTCGTGGTGATGGTGGTGGTGGTGATGGTGGTGGTGATGGTGATGGTGGTGGTGGTGATGGTGGTGGTGGTGGTGATGGTGGTGGTGATGGTGGTGGTGATGATGGTGGTGGTGATGGTCGTGGTGATGGTGGTGGTGATGATGGTGGTGGTGATGGTCGTGGTGATGGTGGTGGGTGGTGATGGTGGTGGTGATGGTGGTGGTGATGATGGTGGTGGTGATGGTCGTGGTGATGGTGGTGGGTGGTGATGGTGGTGGTGATGGTGGGTGGTGATGGTGGTGGGGGGTGATGGTGGTGGGGGGTGATGGTGGTGATGATGATGATGGTGGTGGTGATAGTGGTGGGGACGGTGGTGGGGGGTGATGGTGGTGGTGGTGGTGATGGTGGTGGTGATGATGGTGGTGGTGATGATGGTGGTGATGGTGTCTGTGTGCCGGGAAAGGTCCTAGCAAGGATTATTCAACATCGCCTTGCCAGGCACGCTGAGGAGAGGCTTGCAGAGCCCCAATGCGGTTTCAGGAAAGGGCGGTCCTGCACAGATGCCATATTTTCTGTCCGTCTGCTACAGCAGAGGTGTAGGGAATTCCAGCAAGACCTACATCTCTGCTTTATTGACCTGGTCAAGGCCTATGATACCATCAGTAGGCCTGGGCTCTGGGTTGTTCTTCGTGTTTTCGGAGTCCCTGACCCTCTGCTCACGATCATTAAGGACCTTCATGATGGTGAGCGGGGCCCGGGTAAAACTACGTGGCCGGGAGTCAGAGCCATTCCCTGTACACCTTGGGGTGCGACAGGGATGTCCTCTGGCTCCCACATTATTTAACATCTATTTTGATCACGTAGTTCGTGAAGCCTTCAATAGCTGTACCGGGGGAATCTCCATATGGTACAGATATAATGGGAGGCTGATCGATGCCCGGGTGCGGTCAAGGGATGGCTCCCTATTGCTCAACCACGTTATGTATGCTGATGATTTGGTAATAGCCGCTCACTCAGAGGAGGAGTTGTAGACGCTGCTGCTGAGACTGGAGCGTGCCACTAAGAGATGGGGCCTTACCATCAGCGTCACCAAAACTAAGCACCTGCCTGGGTATTTTGTACCATCGGACACTCCACCCCCACAACTCCCAATCGGTGATGGGGCAGTTGTGGAGAGAGTGGAGAGTTTCCCATACCTGGGCAGTGTGCTTATGACTGGCTCCAGTTTAACAGCAGAGGTCTCACTCCGAATCAGTCGAGCGGCAATATCTTTTCATCGGTTGCGTAACGCTGTGTGGAAGCTACCTGGTCTGTCGCTCCGCACTAAGCTTCAGGTCTTCTCGGCCACGGTCATTCCCTCTCTTCTCTACGCTTGCGAAACGTGGACCCACTTAATGGAACATCTTCGCCGGTTAGAAACATTTAGGCTGGCCTGCCTACGATCCATCCTGGGTTTAACCAGGCTGGATTGTGTGAGGAGTTCACAAATCCTCGAAACATCTGGATAAAGTCCCATCGGTGAGCTCCTCCGGCAGGCAAGGCTGCGATGGCTGGGTCATGTAGCCCGCATGCCCAGCCACCGCATGCCGAAACAGCTTTTGTTCGGCCGGATCGAGGGGGCTAAGCGGGCGCGGCACGGGCTAGAGAAGAGATGGAATGATGTGGTACAGGAGGACGTGGAGCGGAGTGGACTTGCCGATGACTGGTACCAGCGGTGTCAATATCGGCCTCTGTGGAGGAGGCTCGTGAAGGATGCTACTGGGCAGTTGGAGGCAGTCGCCCTCCAACAACAACGGAGGGCGGAGGAGCGACGCTCAGAACAACGAGCGGAGCGCCGGGTGGCTAAAGCACAGCGGGTTGGCACAGTAGGGGGCACAGGTGGTGCATCAGCCAGTCATCTCAGGCAGTCGACCCGTGGCACCTGGGTCTGCCCTGTGACCTCCTGCCGGCGGGCGTTCGACACTCCACATGGCCTCAAGGTGCACTAGGCCTGGCACAAGCGTCGTGGTGACATCACCGCCACTTATTGGCGAATGGCGGTTGTTGTTGATGGTGGTGGTGATGGTGGTGGTGGTGTTGATGGTGGTGATGATGGTGTGGTGATGGTGGTGATGGTGTGGTGATGGTGGTGATGGTGTGATGATGATGGTGGCAGGAGCTGGAGGATCAGCTTGATGTTTTCAACATTGTCCTGGCGAGGAGACAAGCAGAGGCAGAGGTAAACAACAACATCAACAACAACATCAACAACAAAATCAACAACATCATCAACATCATCATCAACAACATCAACAACATCAACAACAAAATCAACAACAACATCAACATCATCAACAACATCAACAACAAAATCATCAACATCATCAACAACATCAACAACATCATCAACAACATCAACAACATCAACAACATCATCATCAACAACATCAATAACATCAACAACATCAACAACAAAATCATCAACAACATCATTATCAACAACATCACCAACAACATTAACAACCACATCAACAACATCATCAACATCATCATCACCAACAACATCAACAACATCACCAACCACATCAACAACATCATCAACATCATCATCAACAACATCAACAACATCAAAAACATCTACTACTGCTACTACTACTGATGATGATACTACTACTGATGATGATGATACTACTACTGATGATGCTGATACTACTACTGATGATGATGATACTACTACAGATGATACTGCTACTACTACTGATGATGATACTACTACTGATGATGATGATACTACTACTGATGATGCTGATACTACTACTGATGATGATGATACTACTACAGATGATGATGATACTACTACAGATGATGATGATACTACTACTGATGATGATGATACTACTACAGATGATGATGATACTACTACTGATGATGATACTACTACTGATGATGATGATACTACTAATTATGATGGTGATACTACTACTGATTATGATACTACTACTGATGATGATATTACTACTGATGATGATCATACTACTACTGATGATGGTGATACTACTGCTGATGCTGCTACTACTGCTGATACTACTAATGATACTACTGATACTACCGCTGATACTGATGATACCACTGATGATGGTGATACTACTGCTGATGACGCTGCTACTACTGCTGATACTACTAATGATACTACTGATACTACTGCCGATACTACTAATGATACTACTGGTACTACTGCTGATACTGACGATGATACTACTTATGATGGTGATACTACTACTGATGATGCTGCTACTACTGCTGATACTACTAATGATACTACTGATACTACTGCTGATACTGATGATACTACTGATGATGGTGATACTACTACTGATGATGCTGCTACTACTGCTGATACTACTAATGATACTACTGGTACTACTGCTGATACTGACGATGATACTACTTATGATGGTGATACTACTACTGCTGATACTACTGATACTACTGCTGATACTACTAATGATACTACTGATACTACTGCTGATACTACTAATGATACTACTGATGATGGTGATACTACTACTGATGATGCTGCTACTACTGCTGATACTACTAATGATACTACTGATACTACTGCTGATACTACTAATGATACTACTGATACTACTGCTGATACTACTAATGATACTACTGATACTACTGCTGATACTGCTAATGATACTATTGATACTACTGCTCCTGGTGAGTCAGTTGTCCAAGCAACGGGTACGATTGGCTCGCTCCACCACCACCTCGTCCACCACCTCGTCCACCACCTCGTCCACCACCTCGTCCACCTCGTCACCCCGTGTGGGCGTGCGTGGGTGGCTGGGAGGATGGTTCAGTGGGAAGGGAGATGGCAAGACAGGAAGAGAAGAGAAAGGTGATTGTGGTGATTGTGGTGATGGTGGTGATGATGGTGGTGG